ATTTTTATGTTTAGATGCATTTAAACTGATCAAATTTTATTTCAGAGAACAATAAAACATTTTGTTTGATTAAAACCCTGCTAACATGGAAGTACCCAAGAATCATTTGAGGCACATAATGCTTTATGAGTTCAAGAAAAGAAACTCAGCAGTCGAAGCGGCTAGAAACATTCACTCAGTTTATGGAGAGGAATGTGTGAATGAAAGAACTTGCAGAAGATGGTTTGCAAAATTCAGATATGGAGATTTCACCCTTGAAGATGAACATCGAACCGGACGTCCAGTTGAGTTTGATGAAAAGCTTCTTGAAGCAGCCCTTGAAAAAAATCCTGCTTTATTAGTTGAGGAATTGACAGTGGTTCTCAGTTCATCGTCATCTTCAGCAACTTGGAAAAGTTCCTAAACTTGGAAAATGGATGCCTCATGAATTGTCTGAAAACAACCTCAAATCCCGAGTTGACATCTGCTCTTCTCTCCATTCTCGCCAACTTTTTTGGATAGACTTGTGACTGGCGACGAAAAATGGATCTTTTATCGAAATGTTAAGCATCGTAGACAGTGGCTTGGTAAAGGGGAAGGACCCCAGCCACAGCCGAGAAGGGAACTTCATGGGCAAAATGTTCTTCTTTCAATCTGGTAGGATCGCCAAGGAATAATCCACTTTGAATTCTTGCCACCTAATGCAACAATTAATGCTCAAATATACTGCCAGCAATTAGAGCGTTTGAACCAAGCTTTGAGGAAAAAAAGACCTGCTCTAGTGAATCGAAAAGAGGTAATGTTTCATCAGGACAATGCGCGACCCCACACAGAATCACGTCACAAAAGATCGAAGAACTTGGTTGGGAGAAAATTCCTCATCCACCTTATTCTCCCGATCTTGCTCCTTCAGACTACCATTTGTTTCGTAGCTTACAGAATCATTTGGAAGAAACAGCTTTTGTAACACAGGAAGAGGTTAAAACTGACATTTGTGAGTTCTTCGAATCAAAGCCAAAAGAATTTTACAGTAATGGAATTAGTAAGCTTGTCAATAGATGGAAGGAAGTCATAGATAATCAGGGAAAATACATTGTTGATTGAATCTGTAATTAAATGTAACATTTGGTCACTTGTTTTCTTTATTCAAAATTCGGACAAAACTTATGGGATGACCTGATACTACAGGTACAGGATAAATTCATGAAACTTTACTATATTTTTGGACCTCGTCTTATGTATAGGTCGTCTTATAGACGGAAATATACGGTAACTGTTCTCTAATCATGGCGGGACTTAAAAATTGATAATGTCAAAATCCGTTTCTGTTTAATAAAACCCGCTTTTGTTTGCCGGGTTCTAGATTGTTTCCGTCATATTTTCCAGTCTTTCTTTATTTTTAGGCGGGTGGATATTTTTCCTTTCCGCTAGTCATGTTGAATTAGAGGCGGGGGTAATTAGAGGCGGGGATAAATGCCAGTCAATTAACATGCAATTAAGTAGCTTATTTCCCGATTTCGTTGCAAGATATATTGTTTGTTCAAGCGTTTGTTAATCTCATAACACCACTGGGTGTGGCTGGGATGGGGTGACGAGGCAAGTGGTTACAATGCAATTAACTATTGTACTAATTGTAGGATTAATGAGTTTACCAATGTCGATCCTTTACCGCCTGCAGTGACCCGAAAACAACTCATTTACTGACTTTGAATGAGAGAGAACAAAGAAAGAAGGAAAGAAAAAACTGCTAAAAGAAAGGAAGAAAGAAAGGAAGGAAAACAATCGTAATGTCTGCTGGAAAGAAAAAAGAAAAAGAAAGAATCGTAATGTTTCCTGGAAAGAAAGAAAGAAAGAAAGAAAGAAAGAAAGAAAGAAAGAAAGAAAGAAAGAATGAATGAATGAGTGCTGGATGGATTGAAGGTAGTAAAGAAGGATAAGACTGCCGAAAGGAAGGAAGGAAGGAAGGAAGGAAGGAAGGAAGGAAGGAAGGAAGGAAGGAAGGAAGGAAAACCAAAGTGTGTACTAGAAAGAAAAAATCATGTTTCCTTAAAAAAAAAAATTAACGAGAAAGAAAGAAACAAATATCAAAATGTCTACAAGAAAGAAAGAAAGAAAATAAAGACTGTTGGAAAGAAAGAAGAAAGGAGGGGGTAGAAAAATCATAGTGTGTGCTGGAAAAAAGAAAGAAAGAAAGAAAATAAAGACTTTGGAAGGAAAGAAGGAAGGAAGGTAGAAAAATAGTATCTGCTGGAAAGAAAGAAAGAAAGAAAGAAAGAAAGAAAGAAAGAAAGAAAGAAAGAAAGAAAGAAAGGAAACAAAGACTGCTGGAAGGAAGGAAAAAGGAAGGAAGGAAGGAAGGAAAAATTATAGTGCCTACTGGAAAGAAAGAAAGAAAGAAAGAAAGAAAGAAAGAAAGAAAGAAAGAAAGAATCACAATGTTTCCTGCAAATAAAAGATTAAAATGTCTTCTAGAAAGAAAGAAAGGAAAGAAAAGTAAAAGGAAGGAAGGAAAGAAAATCATAGCGTTTGCTAGAAAGAAAGACAAGAAGAAGGATTAAATCGAGATAGAATTAAATGGATAGAAAAAAAGAAAAAAAAAAATAAATTTTAAAAGAAATACTAAAAAAAAACATTATAAGAACGTATAAAAACGTGAGATAGGGTATAAATGTTTGATGCACTCTTTTAAAATGCATTGCATTTCACTACTTCAATCAGTTTTCACTGCATATATAAATATACTAACTGAAGTACCCGTCTACGTCGAGTAAAAGGTCAAAACTTACATCATCGCCGGTAATAATGGCAGCGGGGTGGGGGGCGTTCCCTTCGTTTTGTAATGGTCTGTTGGCAAGATTATCAAAATCCCTTATGTGAAATTACTCGGTATATATAAACCCGGGAAGCCGATGCTACATACCAAGAAAAAGAAATAAAATGGATAACGAGAAAAAAAAATGTGTATTTTACAAGATCTTTGTTGTTGTCATTATTTACATGTGTGAGCTTTCATTTACAGCGGCACTGGTCATGTACAGTAACGCCGTAATTGCAATTTGTAATATAAAAGAGAAATCAAAATAGATTTAATTTCTTCCTGCTAGATTTCTAACGAAGAAATACAAAAGGAAAAAAAATGAAGACGAAATATTTTTTTCGGGAAAGAATTGAGCTTTAAAATTTGTCATCTTGCCTGAACATCAATGATAACAGAGAAAGTGTAATACTACAACAAAAGTTATCAGTTGATACTTTAAAACTGTAACATCAAAGCAGATCATTCATACAACAAGCAGACACCGGGTCCTCCATCTATACTTGGCTACGTTTCAAATTTCGGCTTCTTTCATTGTCATTACCATTGTCGCCCTGATAACCCTCGATTGACAATATACTTTTGAACAAGTGTAGAGGATTATCTCCTCTCATTGTCATTACCATTGTCGCCCCTCGATTTATATCCTTTTGAAAAGGTGTGAAGATTATCCCGTCATTGTCATTTATTGTCAATATCCTTTTTGAACAGGTGTAGAGGATTATCTTCTTGTCATTACCATTGTCGCCCTAATAACCCTCGATTTACTTTTTGAAAAGGTGTAGAAGATTAATTTGTCTCCATTGATTTTTACAATATCCTTTTGAACAGGTGTAGAGGATTATCTCTCATTGTCATTACTGTTGTCGCCCTGGTAATCCTCGATTTACAATATACCAGGTGTATTATCTCTTCTTATTGCCATTACCATTGTCGCCCTAATAACCCTCGATTGACAATATACTTTTGAAAAGGTGTAGAGGATTATTATCCATTGTCCCCTCAACATTGCAATATTAAAAGGTGTAGAGGATTATCCATTGTCGCCCTTGTCGCCTAGTAACCCTCGATTTACAATATCCTTTTGAAAAAGGTGTAGCCCTAAAACCCTCGATTTACAATATACTTTTGAAAAAGGTTATCTCCTATCATTGTCATTACCATTGTCGCTCTAAAAGGTAACCCTATCATTGTCATTTTGTCGCTCCTAATAATATCCTTTTGAACAGGTGTAGAGGATTATCTTCCGTCATTGTCATTAATTCTCGATTTACAATATCGCTCTGGTAATTCTCGATTTACAATATACTTTCGAACAGGTGTAAAGGATTATCTCCTCTCATTGTCATTACCATTGTCGCCCTAATAACCCTCGATTTACAATATCCTTTTGAAAAGGTGTAGAGGATTATCTCCTATCATTGTCATTACCATTGTCGCCCTAATAACCCTCGATTTACAATATCCTTTTGAAAAGGTGTAGAAGATTATCTCCTATCATTGTCATTACCATTGTCGCTCTAATAACCCTAGATTTACAATATCCTTTTGAACAGGTGTAGAGGATTATCTTCCGTCATTGTCATTACTGTTGTCGCCCTGGTAATCCTCGATTTACAATATACTTTTGAACAGGTGTAGGGGATTATCTCTTGTTATTGCCATTACCATTGTCGCCCTAATAACCCTCGATTGACAATATACTTTCGAACAGGTGTAGAGGATTATCTCCTTCATTGTCATTACCATTGTCGCCCTAATAACCCTAGATTTACAATATCCTTTTGAGCAAGTGTAGAGGATTATCTTCCCTTATTGTCATTACTGTTGTCTCCCTGGTCATCCTCGATTTACAATATCCTTTTGAACAGGTGTAGAGGATTATCTCCTGTTTCCTGATTAGCACTGGGTTTCTGGTTCGTTCTAACGTATGCTTCAGCTCTCTATTCCTAACATCTGCGCCTGAAGTATAAAATTTTGTTCACTAAATATTTATATGTTTTTTTATTTTTATCTCCTCCACCAACAGGAGTAAATAGGTTCGCCCATCGTCCGGTTCACACTTCTCCCTGGTTTTTGAACAGGAATAGTTTATCTCTTATTGACTGTTTAGGATTGGTTTTTCCGTTTACTTCTAAAGTCTGTTTCAACTCCATTATCCATAATGAAAATTGGGATAATATCTTTCTTATTTTAGAACAAGTCCGTATTTATTATTATAAGTATAATGCTTTATTTGAAATTATAGGTTGATTGATGACTTATTTGTCTTTTACGGTTTATCAACCCTTTGTTGTTGGTATTTTTTTTAAGTCGAAACACATTTTGGATTCTAAGAATATTTTTTTTACGAGTGAATATTGTTTTTGTTTTTTTGTTTTTGTTTTGGAAAATTATATTTCCAGATAAGAAGTCCTACTATTTAACTCAAGTAGGAGATCGACTCACACATTACCAAGTTGTATTTGCACGTAAGTGAATGTAACCCACCCGATCGGAATTCGAACTCAACTCTCTGTTTTCTCGTTCCCAGCCGCAATCTATTGCACCATCCGCTCATGTTCGTGCGAAGCTTCCTTTGAGGCTTTCTAAATATTCAGAAACATACTTTTTTAACGTCTGAAGAAGAAAATAAATAGTTAAGTCATTTTTTCTTTTATTTTAAATAGAATTATTACACGACTACAAGAGGTTCGCTAATGGCATTCACCGTTAATTATTTCATCTAGAGAATTAAGATTGATTCTGATCTTAAGAGAGAAAAAAAAAAAAAATAACTTCCGATCGCTATTAAGGAAGAGATTAAATATTTTAATCGATCAAAGAACAGCAAATCAATCGATTCACAGGTCCTCGATTCAAAATATCAGACAATAGTATCGATGTTTAAGCACTGGTAGATTTTAGGCGGCCAAGACATTAAAAATACATTGGACGGTGATGAAGAAGAGGCTCGAGACAATAGAGATGTGGTTCGACAAAAAGGATGCTCAGGATATCATCGACCGAGCGTGTGAGCAACGATGAGATTTCGGAGTGGCTACAAATATGGAGGAAGCTTATATTTAATATCAGAAAGAGACAGCTGAAATTTCCTGGACACGTAATGAGAAAGGAGGGCTTGGAGAATCTGATACTCACAGGTCGAATAGAGGGAAAGAGGGACAAGGGAAAGCAAAGCATAACATACCTAGCGGGCTTAAGCAACATGGCCTGGTGGAAGTAGCAAAGGGGAAAACTTATTGGGAGCTACAAGAGATAGGGATAAGTTGTGAGCCATGATCGCCTACGCCCTTAAGGGAAACGGCACATCAAAAGAAAAAAGCCTAAAAAAAAAACGCTGTAAACAGATAGTGACATTTTTCCCGAAATATTATTTTCATTGACAATTAACTATAAGAGTAAATCAATAAAATCCCAAACAAATATCCGAATCGATGTTTAAATAAAACTATTTGAACTGGTCAAAGTAATCATAAGAAAAAAAACAGTTTATAGCTGATAAACTGAGAGATAGGGATAAGTGGAGAGCCATGATCGCCTACGCCCTTAAGGGAAACGGCACATAAAAAGAAAAAAGCCTAAAAAAAAAAACGCTGTAAACAGATAGTGACATTTTTCCCGAAATATTATTTTCATTGACAAAACTATAAGCAATAAAATCCCAAACAAATATCCGAATCGATGTTTAAAAAAACTATTTGAACTGGTCAAACATAAGAAAAAAACAGTTTATAGCTGATAAACTGATTTTGATCGCCTACGCCCTTAAGGAAACAGCACAAAAAAAAAAAAGCCTAAAAAAAAAAACGCTGTAAACAGATAGTGACATTTTTCCCGAAATATTATTTTCATTGACAATTAACTATAAGAGTAAATCAATAAAATCCCAAACAAATATCCGAATCGATGTTTAAATAAAACTATTTGAACTGGTCAAAGTAATCAGAAGAAAAAAAAACAGTTTATAGCTGATAAACTGAGAGAATGTTTTGTGATGTTGGACGACTTCGCTTGTCACTCTTGATATGTCAAGCGAAAGCTTGTTATCACTTCCTAAAATACTTGTTATATTCGAGACTTCATAGACGCCGGTACTAGTAGTAACGCCTTCCAATAATATCCGCACTAGTAATACTTGTCCAAGTAGTAATTGCCAAAATAATCTAATGATCAGAAGAGAATCGTAATCCATATAGTAGAAGATAGAGTGAACGTATAGCAGTAGTGGATAGACAAGAAGAGTGAACACTGATTGTATAGTCATCATGCTACTTCCTATTTATTAACTTTCTTTATGACCACGTGATCTACTTAATAATGGAATAGCCCGTGTTACTTACTGGCGATCTAGTTTCAAACCACAGTATCGGCAACGGCACTTGCTCTTATACAAAAGAGTGTTAAGACATTATTCGGTTTAAAGTACAATTGATTCATGGTTTAAAAGATGAAAATAAAAATAAAAAAGACAGTAAAACGTTTAAATATAATTACTTACGTTATTTACATTATTCGCACTGTTATCCACATTGCTATATTCACAACGCTTCTTCGGTTGATGGCAATTTCGAACCGAACCCTTCATTTCGTCGACTGGGATAGATTGTTCTTGTTCCACGTGCCGTGCCCCTTCCAGATGTTTCAGTTCTTTCACTTCAACAAGATTTGGTCTACTGGTGTGGTTTTGAACTCACAACTCTTTG